AGAAGACACAGAGGGGTGGTGGAGGGAAAATAATGTGATCATATTTAACTTAAAAAATTTTAAATTATTTCAAACAATACAATTTTTAAGCCAGACGGTGGTGGTGCATACCTTTATTCCCAGCACTTGGGAGGCAGAGGCAGGAGCATCTTAGCCATTTCCTGGTCTATAAAGCAAGTTCTAGGACAGTTAGGACTGTTACACAAAGAAACCCTGTCTCAAAAAAATTATTATTTTAAATAAAACCCTACAAGAATCAAGGTTTTCTATGTCTTCAACTGCAAGCTCCTACAGCTTATGAACTGTGATTGTCATTTCTCTTCAGATTTTGGTTGAGTCTTTAAGGCTAAGATATCTCTCCAGCCCTGATTTTTATTTTTCTTTAAAATAAAAAAATATTTACTGCAGGCAGCGCCGTGGCTTAGTTGGTTAAAGTGCCTGTCTAGTTAAAACAAAAGATTTATTTATTTACTTACTTATTTATTATGTATAGTGTTCTGTTTGCATGTATCTCTGCCGGCCAGAAGAGGGCATCAGATCTCATTATAGATGGTTGTGAGCTGTCATGTGGTTGCTGGAACTTGAACTCGGAACCTCTAGAAGACCAACTAGTGTTCTTAACCATTGAGCCATCTCTCCAGCCCTGATTTATTTTTCCAAAATTAATTTTTAAAATACATCTGTCTTTAAGCACCTGTCTTTAAGTCCAGAACTCGGGGACAGAGGAGGTGGATCTTTTTCTATGAGTTCAAGGTCAGCCAGATCTATATAGGATTACATAGACACTGTCTCAAAAACAAAAACAATTTTTAAAAAACGTTTTCCAAAATGTAGGGAATCAATATTTGAGTACATTAGCGAATAAAAGGATAAACCAAAAAATAAAAATAAAATAGACAAATGAAAAGGCATTATTCCAGTTTAGGTGGTCTGAAAAAAACAATCCACACATTTTTACAAAAACCAGTAGGATTTCTCTGGACTTAACAAAAACTGTTATTCCCTTCCCAGTGAGCAACTAGGCTCTGATCACAGTATTATTTGGACCATCAATTAAGTGTTGCTGCTAAGCACAAGACAAAAATGCAGCATCCTTATGTAAAAGTCTTAGCCATTTAAAAGTTCCTTAAATTGAGGGCCATCGAGAAAGTTCAGTGTGTAAAAGCACTTGTCACACAAGACTGACAATGGAAAGCTAGATGTGGGGATTCAAACCCATAACCCAGCACTTCTACGTGGAAATGGGAGGTAGAGGCAGAATCACCTGGAAGTTCCTGGGCCAACCAGTCTGGAGTGTGCTGAGCCTCAGAAACAAGAAAACAAACAAACAAACAAACACAAAAAAACTACTGAGCAAGGTGGAGAACCAACTACCAAAAGCTGTCTTCTGACCTTCACACATGCACCATGGTGAGGCATGCCTACACCAGTAACCTACACTCTCATATGCACACCATACAACACACACAATAAAAAACGACAACAAAATAAAAATATATGGGCTGGAGAGATGGCTCAGGGGATAAGAGACTTGCAGTGCAAGCATGAGACCTGTGCATGGGCACGTGCACACATAGGCATATCACACACACACACACACACACACACACACACACACACACACACACGCACTCAGACTCACTAAATCAAGCTAGGGGATACAGTCTAACGATAGAACACTTATCAGCATGTGCAAGGCCCTAGATTCACTCCCTAGTACTGGAAATGAAAAACTGGACTTTAAAGTTCATTAAAGCAAGTTGGATGTGTTGGCTTAAGCCTGAAACCCCAGCACTCAGAGACTGAAGCAGGAAGCTGCCATGAGTTCAGGGCCAGTCTGGGCTGCATAGTGAGTTTCCGTCTACAAAGTAAGATCTGTCTCTAAAACAAGAAATTAACTAAAATAATAAAAATAAGGTTTATTAAGTCAATGCTCAAAAGAACCATGAATAAATGCTTTCAAGGCAGCTGTGAAACAAACTCTTGGCCATTTCTTATTAAAGTGGCTCTTGAAATTGAGGCAAATTGACTCTTTATTTTCAAAATATTCATTTTGGTGAGGAGGGGATAACAGGGCCTGGAACTCCCCATATAGTCGACGCTGGCTTCACGATTCACAGCAATCTGCCTGCCTCTGCCTCCCCTACTTACTGCCTGGCTAAAACATTCTTTTAATAATAAAATAATAAAGATATATTGTAGGAAATCCAAATAAGCTTAGAGATGAAAATTTGTAATCACTTTGTTTGTTTTTGGAGGCAAGGTCTTACTATGTAACTCTGGCTGTCCTAGGCCTCACTGTGTACACCAGGCTGGCCTGGAACTCGGAGATATCCACCTGCCTCTGCCTCTGCCTCTGGAGTGCTGGGACTGAAGGGGTGTGTGCATCACTATGCCCAGCTAAAACATTACAATTACTTTCAGTCTCACTATCCATACTGAACTGTAGCATAGGTACATGTAACCTTCTGAGGTTTTGTTTTGGTTTTCTGTGCATAATCATCAGTATTTCTTGTTTGTTTGTTTGTATGTTTTCCTTTTGGTGTAGGGGTAGGTGGCACTTTAAGGGATCAAACCTAGGGCCTCCACCATGCTAGGCAATCTCTGCACCACCATAGAATAGCCGCAGCCCTTTTCTGTGTGTGTTTGTAAGAGGTCTTGCTGGCCTGACTCTAGGCAACCCTCCTAGCTCATCCTTTCTGAGTGATGCGATTACAGGTGTGTGCCACTACACCTGGCTTCCCACCTATCCATGCTCTTGATCTATAAAAGTTGAAGCTTTTTAACCATCTGTTTTCACATCATATCCCTTTACAAACACAGTGTTATATGCAAATATAAAGAAACCTTAAATGGCTGAATATTTCATGGTGTGTACTACCATGCAACTAATCCACTTACACTAAGTAAATTTTAAAGCATCTCTTGCTACTGACGCTGCTCACTATGAAAGCCTTTAAAGGGGCCCCTCTTCCCATCTGGTTCTCTCTTTCCACCATGTGTGTCCCGGGTCAGACTCAGGTCATCACACATCAAGGCAGGTGCCTGCTGAGCCATCCCACACGCCCCTCTCTTTCTATCTGGCATTGCCACAAAAGCAGCTGTGACACTGACTTCTTCAGATAAGCCACACTGAAAAAAAAAGTCTATAAAACCTACAAAAAAAAAAAAAGCTGATGGTTTGAGCTGGTCTCTGCAGGGCCCCGTCTTGTCTCTCTCTGCACAGGCTCTGTGGCCTCTTCCCTCAGGCCTCCATGCATCTCTCACTGAATCCTTCTAGCCCCTCCCTTCCCTCATATGCATCTTTCCTATTCCAGCATACATCCTGACAGTGTGGGTGTTGAGTGGGGGGGCTTCTCAAACAACTCTCAGCCCCCAACTGGTATTTCAAAAACACATGGGCCTTTATTTTGACAGTTAAATTCCTGCTACTGCAGAAACTGTGTCCAACTCCACTTCCAGGGCTGGAAGCAAGCAGGCTTGTTGCAATGTTTGGATTATAAAAACAATGCATATTTTCCCTCTGCCTCAGAGATATGAAGTCTAAGGGTTAATGGCTTGATTCTTCATTATCTTCTCCATCCGCATTCATCACAAGACATCCTTCCCAGGAAGGCAAGAATGAGAGGTTATTGTTAAAGAGAATGAATGAGACAATGCAGGTTCTGTTCTTCTGACCTGGCAGTGTGACCCAGGCAGGGACTAGGGACTAGGGAGGGCTCTAGCAAGCCTCCACCAGTCTTGGCACAGCTGCCATCTTCTGTTGTGGAAAAAAAAAACTGCGTTGGGTCCTTGTGTTCCCAACTCCTCACCCTTGGGAGCACAAGGGCGCAGAGGCACACAAGCCAAAGAGACATGTTCTCAGGGAATCCTGAGGTTCAGTTCCTGGCCACCCTTTCCTATCTCAGGTATTTCCAAAGAGACATGCTCTCAGTGAACCCTGAGGTTCAGTTCCTGACCACCCTTTCCTATCTCAGGTATTTCCAAAGAGACATGCTCTCAGGGAACCCTGAGGTTCAGTTCCTGACCACCCTTTCCTATCTCAGGTATTTCCAAAGAGACATGCTCTCAGTGAACCCTGAGGTTCAGTTCCTGGCCACCCTTTCCTATCTCAGGTATTTCCAAAGAGACATGCTCTCAGGGAACCCTGAGGTTCAGTTCCTGGCCACCCTTTCCTATCTCAGGTATTTCCAAGGATGGAGGCATGATCAGTTTTTGGGTCTTTTTTTTTTTTTTCCTTTAAGTATGATTGTGACGAGCATGAAGCGTCATCTCACAAATGCCATCTGCTCCAGCAGCTTGGGACACATCCCATCTGGTTCTCTCCTTCCACCATGTTGTTTACATGTCCAGTCATCGACCAGAGGTCTATGAAAAATGTGAGTCATGGCATTGGTGCACTAGGGCAGTAACCCTCTAGTCCTGTGGAGCTGGTCTGTCCCCAGGCACAACACCACCATGGAGGTATTCGAGGAAGGCAAGAATACTGCGATTCACACAGTGGTACATGCTTTCCATAGCAGCTCTGAAACACACATGTTTCATCACGACTGTCAGAGATGATGGTGAGGACTCCTCTCAAAGATTGGACCAAGAATACATGGGAGGCAGAGGCAGGTGGATCACTGTGAATTTGAGGCCAGCTTGGGCTTCATTGCAAGTTCTATGACAGCCAAGGCTACAAAGAGACACTATCTTAAAAAAAAAAAAAAGAAAAGAAAAAGGATGAGGAGGAGAAAAAGAGAGAGAGGAGGGAGGACACACACACACACACACACACACATCTCTGGAAGTTCAAAGAGTGGTTCCACCCACCAAGTCACAACAGGCTTTGGAGTGGAGGAGTTTCCAGAAGTTGCTAGAGGTCAAGGGAAGGGCAAGTGTTTCTTTGTAACACCCTTTCCTCCCCATTTACAACAACTAAAACAGGAACAAAAAAGAATTTCAAATCCAAGATGTGATTCCAGAGGACACCCAAGGTTCCCCAAAACCAGACTCACTCTGCAGCCACTAATTGGGGGATGGGTTCATCTAGGAGTTCCAAGCTGTGCAGGATCCAGTAGCAGAGCCAGGGGCGGCTGGCATCCAGACACTGAGGACAAGGAGAAAACACACCCTTTATTCAGTCACTCCAAGATCCTGTGGACAAGGCTACATCTGTCTTAGTCCCATAAGCCAAGCAAGAGAAGGAGGTACCCTTCCTTGGACAGCAATTGATAAATGAAAGATGCTTTGCTTTGTGTCCTTAGCCAGGAGATGAAATGTCCTTCGGCAACAAAACGACATAGGAAACAAACCTTAAACCCAGTGGCCCCTTCCTTGCAGATGTCCAAGCAAGTCTGAGCAGAGCACTTACACACTGCTTTCTTCCTAAGGCAGACCCAAGGAAATGCAATCTTTAATTCATTCGTTTATAGTTTCAGCAAATGTCTGGTATCTACATGTGCCAAGCATTATAGACTTGAGGGGCCTGGTGATAATGGAAGCTGGTCCTGAGTCTTGGGATGCTCAGCATGTAGAATATAGGGTTGACTCTATTAGAGAAGGAGACAGCAGACACATAAGCTGTCCCATGTCTTTCTGGAACAAGGTGAACATGTGTACATACACACATGTTAATTGCTGCTATGAGCAGAAATAGCACTGGGGACCTGGAGGAGGCTGAGTGTGGATGGAGACTGGGCAAAAGCTTCTAAAGGCAATGTGTGTGGACAGACCTTGAATCTAATTCAAGTCAGACATGGCTGCTGAGGACCCCACACTGGACAGGGCAGGGCAGGAGGTACCAGTTACCAGTTCTACTTAAAGTAAACGCAGTCTAGGGAGACCAGTTTTTCTTCTGGTTATAAAAGAAGTAAATGGCAGAGTTGGGGTGTAGACTGTGTTACTCAGGTTGCCTATGAGAAACCCCTCCACAAAAAAATCAAATATAGAACTCTGAAATAAAAGCCAATTAAAGGCTTTGCGAAGGGAGGCAGGGAGACGGCACTGCTGGTCACAGCCTTTTCTACCCCCGCCACAACTCTGAAGTTCTTCCATGAATCTCATGGAATTAAGATTCACTCTGTGTTTAGTGTCTTCTGGGACCCAAGTACTGGTCCACGAGCCAAGACAGACACTGGATCAAGGTGTGGGGATGACAAGGAACGTGACTTAATGTAGATGCAAAAGAAGTCACCAGAATGCATGCAGTGATCAAATGATGGAGAGGCCTAATCCATCCAGGGTGTCCCAGCAGCTCTAGGGGCCAACAAGGAGGGTAGAGACTTTATTTAGCCCCTTTCAAGTGGAGTTCCAGCTCTGAAACGGCAGCCTATTTCCTGCCAAAACTACGTGATGCAAGAGATGCATCTGCAATGGGTAAAAACCAACAGCTGTTTTGTGTTCAAATAGGAGTATGCCCAGTGTTTGGCAGAAAGTTCCCCGGCAACATTTTTACCTCATAGGCATCTGTCAGTTGTCGAAGGCCTCTTTTCAGATAATGGAAGTGCTTCTCCCTCTGCAAAATGAGCCTGGAAAGACAAAGAGCCTGTAAGCTCACGCCCCAACTACACACACACACACACACACACACACACACACCACAGTCACAGTGGGATACTTGGTAATTTCAGCATGTACAAAGGCAACTACACCAGGGAAAACAGACACACATCTGAGTTCCTAGGATTGCCTATACTGTCGTGGCAGATGTTCTGAGAGAAAACACCGTGTGAAGGAGATGACTGCCCTGCACTGGGCACACACTGCTAGGTACTAACAATCTATCCAGAAAGTTCCTGGGACTGCCCTTGCGGTGAGCAATCTAACTGCTCGCTGCTTCTCTGACTTGGTCAACCCTAGTCACTTCAGTCATTTCTTCTAGGACCACTAGACTGAAAGCTGTACTTTGTTCCCTGCCCACCCCTTGGCTGTCCATCTGCTACTCCTGCCCCAAAATTCCACGTCCCACGTGCTGACCCACAGCCCTGGCCGCCAGTCACGCCTGTGGCCCTGGGATCAGCACCACCGGCTTTAAGATGGAATGTGCTGCCCATGGCCACCTGCAAGGGCAGAGAGAGAGGCGGGACTTCTTGCTTAGTTTTGAAAATGGTCTGTGTCAAGATGTTCACCAAGCCTGCTGACTATGGAAATAACAGGAAAGAGAACCATTCTCTTCTAGGTAGTCAATTCAACAATTGTTTCTAGAACTCCCACTGTTCTGTGCTCAGAATATGATCATTAATGTGGTCTCTACCTCAGAAAAAAATCTTCCAATGAAGGAATGGAAATGCTGTCTTAAAAAAAAAGAAAAAGGAATTTACCTGTTGTAATCCTAGCACTTGGAAGGAAGGGGGACCACAAGCTCAAAGCCAGCCTACATAGCAACACCTTTCTCAAAAAAAAAAAAAAAATCATGGTGGCATCAGGAGATGCCGGGTCTCTGAGCATTAAGAAGGGCTATTCCTAAGTCACTGAGGGATTGTTAGTACTTTCTAAACTGAGTAGGTTGTTTTCAAGCATCAGTTGTTATAATGTAAGGCTATGCCTCTCTACCTGTTTACCAGGCACCCACTTGCCTTCTGCTTTCTTCCCGAACTGAAACAAAGCAAAGGCCCTCACAGAGCCCAGTCAGATGCTGCCATGCTACTCAGCTCCAGCCTCCAGAATCATTATGGCACACGCCTTTGATCCCACCTCAGAAGGCAGAGGTAGGTGGATCTCTGTGAGTTTCAGGTCAGCCTGGTCTACACAGCAAGTCCCAGGCCAGCCAGGGCTGCAAAGTAAGGCCCTGTCTCAAAACAAAAGGAAACAACAACAAACAAAAATCCTGAAAACAAAGCTGGGCATAGGAACCCATGCCCATGAACCCAATACTCAGGAAGCAGAGCAAGAGGATTGCTATTAGTTCAAAGCCAGCCCAGTCTACATAATGGGTTCCAGGCCATCCTGACAACTTGTCTTTAAAACAAAACAAGCAAAGCCTAAGAGCAAATGGGAGCCACTGAAATATAATAAGGATGACCCTGAAAACACACTAAGCCAAAGAAGCCACTTACAAAATACTGCATATTATATGATCTTATTTATATGAAATATCCACAAAGGGAAAATCCCTAGAGACAGAAAGTAGATTATTTGGTTGCCTAGGGTTCAGGAAGATGAAGGAGCTGAAGATAGAGACTAAGGGTATTAAAATGTCCAAAACTTAGTCCTGGTAATAGTTATATAACTCTGTGAATACACCAAAACCAATGAATTATGCATTTCAACTCAATGGCTTATGTAATTGTATTTCACTAAACATTATTTTTTCTAAAAAGAAACAAAGTTGGACATGGTGATATGTACCTATAAGCCCAGCGTTCAGGAGGCTAGTACAAGAAGATGGCAAGGCTAAGACCAAAAAGTTCCAGACTTCCTGAGATATTAAAGCCCTTACTAGGCAAGCCTAAAGACCTGAGTTCAATCCCTGAATCCTGTGCAATGACAGGAGGGAACCAATTCCACAGTTGTCCTCTGACTTCCACATGTGCCTACACACATACACATACACACACACACACACACACATAGACACATACTAATAATAAAAAGAATTTTAAAGATTGTTACTGAAGTAGTTTAAGCAGCAGGAGATGTGACCCTCCAATAAGGGTCTACATCCTCAGAGACTGAAATGATGCAATAAGTGGATGTATAAAGCCAACCAAATCTAGGACTTTGAAGTGGGGAAGAGCAGACAGAGGAAACTATGTGGGGTTTCAGCCCCGGATTTCTTGGGAATGAGGAACACAGATCCCAGGAGCTAAAGTTTGGTTGCTGTTGTGAGGGCATTAGAGAATCTATATATGATGAAAGGGATTGGAAGTCAAGAAATATAAACATTTTAGTGAAGCCAGTTGGCAGACATTTCTAGGTGGATTCTTGGTAATCTTTAAAAAAAAAAAAAAACAGAGTGTAAGCCAGTTGATCTCAAACTCAAAATCCTTCTCCCTCAGCGTGAGGGCTTATGTTATACCTGTGTGCTATCAAATGGCTTCCTTGCTGGGACTGTTTAGGAGACAGCAATGGGATGAGGGGGACAGCAGACTAAGCAGGAGGGAGGGAAAATGGTAAGCAGATTTCTGAAATAGCTCATATGTCCTGGCACAGCCTGAATAAGATGGAAACATGGGCTATGACAAGAATTAGTAAGATCATTAATGGAGGCTAAGAAATCAAGTCAGGTAAAATTAAGTGTGGTATTTGAACTACTAACTGAACAGGTCTACCCTAAGTAGTCCAGGTTGGCTTTGAAATGAAGGTCTTCATGCCTCACCCTCCCAAGTGCTGGGGTTACATGCATGTACCACAAGCCAGGCTTTGGCTGGGGTTTTTTGGATTTGGTTTTTTTTGTTTGTTTGTTTGTTTGGTTGGTTGGTTTTGGTTTTGGTTTTTCGAGACAGGGTTTCTCTGTGCAGCCCTGGCTGTCCTGGAACTAGCTCTGTAAACCAGTCTGGTCTAGACTCAGAGATTCACCTGCCACTGCCTCCTGAGTGCTGGGATTAAAGGTGTGTGCCACCATGTATGGCTTTTTTGTTTGTTTGTTTTGTTTGTTTGTTTTTTTTAATGAGACAGAGTTTCTCTGTATTGTTTTGGAGGCTATCGGTCCAGCCCGGCCTCGAACTCACAGAGATCCACCATGAATGGCATTTTTACTGAGTTAAACAATTAAACAAATCCTTCAAATATTCAGAAATGCAGCTACTGAGTCAGCTCAGCAAGTAAGAGTACTTGTTGTCACCATGGCCTGATGACCTGAGTCCAATCCCTGGACCCCACATGGTAGGAGAACAAAACTGTCTCCTGCAAATTGTCCTCCACCTCCAAACACCATACTATGACATGCCCCTTGTATGCATGCACGCGCGTGCGCGCGCACTCGAGTATACACACACACTCACACACACCATTTAAAAAAAATAAAAGAAATGTCTTTCAAGTACTGAAACCCTGGGAAGTCTTCTCCTTGTCTTCTGAACAAACTTTTTATGTGACAAGGGACTTTTGGGTCACTAAGAAATCAAAGAGCTCTGAGACTGAAGATTTTGGCCTCCAAAAGGCAACAGGTTGGCTTGCTGGAAGTGGTAAGTGAACTGCCTGAACCCCTACTTTGCAGGAACAGCTAGCTAATGGAGGGAGACCTCAATCACCTCCTCATCTACTTCAGGTTGGTCCCTAGAGAAAGAAGTGAGACAGCTCATAGATAAGCCCCTCCTAAGAAGCTCCCCTCTAACTTTGAGCTTCCCCATAGACAGCCAGGCCCCAGGAGTCCTGCTGAGAAGGGAGTTGTTGAGGTTTTTCCTGCTGGGTCTGTCTGAAGATAAACTTCAGTCACATATGATGGGGGGGTGGCTTTAGAGGATGTAGGGAGAGATTATTTCCAGCAACCATTTCCCCAAGCCAACTTCTTCTTTCATTCTCATCCATTTAATTATAAGCATATAAACATAATGCTAAACTGAAGTGTCCAGTTTATTTTGGTCAGTCAGAAACTACACTTAAAGGCTACTGTTAGGAGCTAAATTGTGCCCCCCCCCCAATTAATGTTGAAACCTTAACCTGTGATGTGACTGTGCTTAAAATAAGACCTTTAAGGAAGAATTTAAGGTTGGGTAAGATCCTAAGGGTGGAGCCCTATCCAATATCACAGCTTTTAGTAAGAGAAAGAATGCTAGGGGTGTGGCCCAGCGTTGAGTGCTTGCCCAGCACGCACAAAGGCCCTGGGTTGATCCTAGTCCTGCCCTGAAGGGACTATGGATAGAGGGAAGACACTAGGGAGTCTGAGCACAAACAAAATGCCATGTGAGGACATAGCCAGGCAGCAAACTGCAAGTCCTGGGGACGGGCCTTAGGAGAAACCAGGCCTCCTGCCATCTTGACCTTGATCCAACCTCTTGAACTGTGAGATAATAAGTTCCTGGGTTTCAGAACAGCCCAAGCTGACTCACACCCTCAGCTTTCCCCTTTCATTCTCTGTGTAGGAAGTTAAAAGCCAAAGCTCCTCCCACCCCCAAGAGTGCAGCCTCAAAGCCAAGCAGGTGAAAAAGAAAATCAGAGGCTGGAGTGGGAGGACAGGGATGGCACCAGGTTTCAGAACACCAATGGACGTGGATACTCAAAGAACAGGCAGGGGGAGACGGGGGGGGGCCGCGGTATCTACTACACACCACGGGACCAGCTAGTGATACAGGTTATATTTCTGGGATAAGCCTCCTTGGCTTCCTCTCCCTCCAACCTCACCCCACACCACCATTGAGCTCTGCTTCCTGAAGTCTTAGGACTTTTTGAACATGTTGTCCCCTCTGTCTAGAACATTCTAGACATTTCTAAGTTAGCCAACTCATCCCATGGGTCATCTTCGGTCTCAGCTTAACTGTTACTTTCTCTGAAGAGTGACCCCCATCTGAGTTATATGTGTCCTGGCCTCTTAGGCATTCCACTGGTAACTGGTGGTTATGTTCATACCCTCAAGAGACTGCCAGCCCAGCTGAAGTAGGACACAGCCTGTCTTGTTCAGGGCCACTCTCCAAGCCCTACAGAGTACCTGGTGAAAAGCCTCTGCACTCCATAAGCCCCTCCACCAATGCAGCAATCCAAATCAGACCAAATCAAACCGAATTTTTAAAAAGCCCCCGTTAGGAAAAATGCTCCTGGATGATTTTCCAGCCCCCCAGAGAGGAGACGGAAAAGTGAGACCAGAAAACCACATGTTTTCAAGAGGGCAGTATAAATACCCTGTGGGAGTGGTCTTGAGCATCTCTGGGGTAAGGTGTCATTTTCTGACAAAAAGTATTAGAATTACAAGGGGCCAGTGAGATGGCTTGCCACTAGGCATGACCCAATTTTAAGGGTTGATGGTACAGGGCATCAGTGGAACACCTAGTACGTAGGAAGGGTCCTAAATTTAACCCCCAGCACCATAAAAAGATAATAGGAGAAAAGGGGGCTTCTTGGTACTGACCACCTCACTCCAGGACAAGTGCACACTTCAGTCATAAGAAGCAATAAATATTTTGTTGTTGTTGTTTTGAGACAAAGTCTCCTGTAATCCAGACCAGTCTTAGTCTTGAACTTTGGAAAACTGTGAAGTCCTGATCCTCCTGCTTCCCCAAACCCCACTCCCCAACCCCATCTAAACTGCTAGGATGACAGGCATATGCCACCACCCCTGACAGAAAAGTCATTTCTGAGAAGAGGATTAGTTGTAGAATGTAGCAGCATCCAGCGTCAGCCTTGAACTTCAGCCACATCTGTTTCCTGGCTTTGGCTCTAGCAGGATGAATAGCGAATGCCGCCTCAGCAGCACCGCAGGCATTCCAGGGCCTGTGCACAGGCAGTGGTCCTGACAGTGTGTCACATCCGATCAACATCACAACCTTAGAAATACAAGCAGGTGGGACAGCCTCCAAAACAGTACTGATAAATCCTGTCTTGAAAAAACAAAACAAAACAACAACAAAAAAATACAAGCAGGCTACATCACCTAGGTGCACTGTCAGCCTCTGATTGTGCATGGTGGTGAAACATGAGGGGGGTATTCTGGGTATTGAAGAATACCCAGAATTCCTGGTGCATTCTGGAAAGTACTCTACACACCGTACCATGTCTAGATTGATCCTTATACCCCAGAAGCTCATTCTATAGAATTTAGCTTCAGTTTCAGATTGATTTTCTGATTTATATACTCAGTTATTCAGACAAAATGTGTAATATCTCTACATCAGTTAACATCATAATTATCTTCAAGACACTCATTTTGGCCAACAGTGGCATGCATGCCTTTAATCCCAGCACTTGAGAGGCAGAGGCAGGAGGATCTCTGTGAGTTTGAGGCCAGCCTGATATACAGAGTAAGTTCAAGGACAGCAAGAGCTATACAGAGAAACCCTGTTGCAGAAATCCAAAACCAAAATCAAAGTCAAAATAATAAAGAAACACAGACTCGTGGGCTAAAGAGAAAGCTCAGTGGTTAAAAGTGCTGGTTGCTCTTGCAGAGGACTTGAGTCATCTTCCCAGCACCTGTATGGATATGGTGGCATACATCCATCATAATTCCAGTTCCTGGGGATCTGACACTCTCTTCTGACCTCTGCAGGCCAGACATATACATGGTGTATATACTTACATGCAGGCAAAACATTCATAAAATACCAGGTTTTTTTTCATTTTTTCAAGACAGGGTTTCTCTGTATTGTTTTGGAGGCTGTCCTGGAACTCACTCTGTAGACCAGGCTGGCCTCAAACTCACAGAGATCCACCTGCCTCTGCCTCCAAGTGCTAGCGTGCCCCACCAACGCCCAGCAAGTAAAAAAAAAATTTTTTTTTTTGGTTTTTCGAGACAGGGTTTCTCTGTGGCTTTGGAGGCTGTCCTGGAACTCACTCTGTAGACCAGGCTGGCCTCGAACTCACAGAGACCCGCCTGCCTCTGCCTCCCAAGTGCTGGGATTAAAGGCGTGTGCCACCAACGCCCGGCTAAGTAAAATATTTTTAAAAGACACTCATTTTTCAGCTGGGTGGTGGTGTCACATGCTTTTAGCCCCAGTACTAGCCAGGCAGATGCAGATAGATCTATAAGTCCAAGGCCAGCCTGGTCTACAGAGAGTTTAAGGACAGCCAGAGCTCCACAGAGAAACCCTGTCTTGAAAAAAGCCAAAAAGAAAAAAAAAAGAGAGGGAAACACTCATCTTCACAGACAAAAATGACAAAAATTGAAACAAAGAAATAGAAAAGAGAAATTTTGAAAACAGAAAAAAAGAGAAATAAAAAAAGATAAAAACTGGAAGCTATGATTCCTGAAACAAACACAGAAACCTGATATATTCTGTTTCTAGACAGTTCTAAGCCCAAGAAGAACACTTGTTTTCCACAGCACCTGACCTAAGTTCTATGAACTGGGGTGGGGGTCTCTTTTACTGTCCTTCCTCACCACTCCCCAAATGACCCTTCCAGATCCCACAGCTGTCCTCATTTCATTAGAATGACAGAGTCCAAAAGATCTAATTGATGGGGAATGAGAAGGAGTGTCAGATGTCACAAGTCCCTTGAGTGGGAACGCAGAGCCCCAGGCAGGAGACAGTGACTCAGAGCTCCATCAGGTGAGTCATCTGTGAGCACAATGGCTAACAGCAAAGCCCTCTCAAATACTCACAGCCTTAACCATCAACAAGTCCAACCACCTCTGGGGAAGCCCAGCTGGGGCAGATTTGTGTGGAGGCAGTGAAAGCGGCATAGATTTTCTTAGTGTTCATTTCCCCTGCGCTGTTGACATAAATGTCATTTGCTGAGCTCCAGCTGTGGCAAAAGGAATAGTTCTGCCGACTGAGGTCTCAGCTTTGGGTAACACAGAGATGCAGCCTGGCAGGCTAAGAAAAGACTCTTCTAGCTGAGTCTGACAAAGTCTCCATGTTGGGTCGGGGTCCTGCAACAGGTGCTGCTTGCTTGAGAGTACAGACAGGCCTTTGTAGAGGTCAACCCTGTTTCCTGATGAACCAGTCTCACAAGGCTTTTATGTCCTCAGCCCAAGGACTAAGCAGAATTCAAAAGACTGCCCATCCTGAACACTAAAGGGTTGTTTCTAGGCTGGGGATGTGTGATGTGCATGCGAGGCTCTGAGTTCAAACCCTAGCATTTCAAGACAAATGACGGAATGAATTTCTACCTCTGTGGCCTCCTTAACTGTCTGAAGACGTCAACAAACATGTTAAACAAGGTGAGGCAGGACTTCAGGCCACACAGCATCTCAACCACCATGGATCACTTGGTGTCTCCACATTTAATTTGGAGAGTATCAAAAAAGAACTATTCCAGGGACGTGAGAGCTGGCTCCACAGGCAAGAGCACCTGTTCTTCTCTTCCAGAGGACCTGAGTTTGGTTCCCAGCACCCACATCAGGTAGCTCACAACTGCTTGATCTCCAGTTCCAGTATTGTAGAAATTTAGTCCAGCTGGTTGGAGAAATGCTCTGTGATTAGTTAGGTGAAGGCAAGGAGGAAAGATAAAAGGGTCCCTCTGGCCCCCCAGCCCCTACTCATGGCTTACCTTGGTACTAGGTGGTTAAACTTGTAAGAACTGAAGACCTCCTGGATCCTCTCTTCTACTTTGGCCTTTAAGGCAGCAGGACATGGAAGAGAGAAAACACATAGATGAGATGCTATCAACTTTCTCTTCCTATTGCCACAAATGTCTAATGCCTTGGGTTTTTCAGCACAGTGGTGTACTGCATCGAGATTGAGAGGCTCTGTAGCATGACAAGCTTAATGACAAACAGGAGGCAGAAACTGGAGAGGTAGTGTAGGGTCAGGGACCCCCAAAACAAGAATTTCGGGAATGTCCTTGGTTTTCTAGCCAGGAATGCCAGAATGGGGGCTCTGGTTTCCTTATCTCCTAAATGTGTGCCTTGCCTGGAGTGAGGCTTGGCATACGTAGTTCCAGTTTCTATTGCTTCGATAAAATACCAAGACCAAAAGCAGCCTGGAGGGGAAAGGTTTATTTCATCTTACAACTCCTAGGTCCCCCTCTATCATTGAGGAAGTCAGGGCAGGAACATGGAGGCAGGAACTGCTTGCTGTTTTGCTTCCCATGGTTTTCTCAGCCTTTATTACATAACTCAGGACCACCTGCCCAGGAATGGCACCACTCACCCACCATACTCCAATCATTACTTAAGGAAATGCTTAATCCCAGCACTTGGGAGACAGAGACACGTGGATCTCTGAGTTCCAGGACAGCCAGGTCAGTCAGAGCTACACAGAGAAACCCTGTCTCAAAAACACAAAAAAAGTGAAAATAAAGAAAAAAAGAAAATGCCCTATAGTCTTACCTATAAGCAATCTGAATTGAAGCATTTACTCAACTGGAGTTCCTCTTCCCAGATAACTAGTTTACAACAGTTGACAAACAATTTAGCCAGACCAGGCTATATATGAGGGTGGGAACAAAACCCCAGTCTGGACAGTAATTCTTCCTGGTGAACAGAATTGGCTCTCTAGACTTTCATGGTGGAAATGGGTTACCTACTCCCCAATTTCAGCCTACTCCTAAATGTAAAGTTACCTACAGAGGTGAGAATGTCATATAGTCTTGATCAGGGCTCTATGGTGGGTCATTAAAGGAGAGCTATTTCCCCCTGGTCAAAAGAATAAAATCTACCTCTGGCCTTGGGTTAAGACCTAACATATCAAACTAACCCAAGACATAAGAGTTAACCCAGCTGGACCTGTCAATCACTTGGTGATTGGAAGGAATAAGTATCTCTATAAGAAGATAATGAACTCCCTTCCCTTCCCACTTTCAACAGTTTCTCATGAAACTATGCCAGAGGGCTCTGCTTAGGTTCAAATTACTCCAAAATGCACCTCCCTCCCTCCTTTTTTTTTTTTTTTTTTTTTTTTTGAGACAGGGTTTCTTTGTATTGCCCTGGCTGTCCTGGAACTCACTCTATAGACCAGGCTGACCTCAAACTCAGAGATTCGCCTGCCTTTGCCTCCTGAGCACTGGGATTAAAGGCACCACCACCACCTGGTCAACACATCTCCTTGTTTAACTTTTTCCTTCTTTTGGATACTTGTAAAGCTTAGACATGTTTTCCTAGACGATTTGGGATTTCACACTCTCCTGATGAAGTCCACCACTCTGCCTTCTGCCATGAGTCAGAACTCCATTGTTTTACCTGAATGCCTAACTCAAAAAGCATGGCTTTCTCTCTTTCTCCCTCCAGGTTCCTCCTCTGGACAGCTGTTAAGAGGTACAGCTTTGCCTGCCCTGGAACAGTTCTTTTAAACTCTAATAAAAATGTCCTCAGGGTTTTTTTTTAACTTTTTATTGATTCTTGATGAATTTCATATCATTCACCCTTCTCCCTGTCCCTCCATATCTGCCCTCCGCCCTTGCAACCTCTCCACCAAAAAAAAAAAAAAAAAAAAAAAAAGAATGACTAAAAACAAATTGAAACAAAACAAAAAATCATCTTGCTGTAGAAGTTGCAGTGTGTCCATGTGTCACGCTGTGTCACCCAGTCTGCCCTTTTGCACAAACAGCTTTACTTGCAAATGTTCACTGCAATGAGTCGCTGGTCTGGTTTGAGGCCTCTGGCTTCTGCTACACTACCAATACTGGATCCTCACCAGGACTCTGTTGGACATCCTGTTGTTACCCTCACACCATCGGGGCCAGCTCTCCTGCACCCACACCACCAGGGCCAGCTCTCTCTCCAGCACTGCCCTGGCCAGGGATGGGACCAGCTGTCCCTCTCACACCCTCGGGGTGGCTCTTCCTTGGCGAGGCCACCAGGGCCAGTTCTACCGCACTGACTAGGCGAGGTACAGGGCCTGCTCTCAAGGAAAGCGGCCAGGGCAGGACCAGCTCTCCTGCATCCTCACTTCCAGGGCCAGCCCTCCCATGCTGCCCAAGCAGAGGTTGGGGGAGACAGGGACAAATCAGCTCTCTCATCTGCTGAGGCCATTCTTAAATTCTTTTATTAATATAGATGAGGATAAAGGTGAAGGACAGAATATTGTTTATAAAAACACACTGGTGTCATACGAGCTTCTCCAGGCACTCAATCCATGATCTCCAAAAAGTAACAGTAGCTGCCCCTTCCCATGTAGCCCTTTGACTTCCTCTCCCTAAATTCTAAGAGACACCACACGTAAATGACTGATTTGATAACTGCTAATATTTCTTTGGGTAAATGAAGACCTTCAGGTAACAGCAAATGTGTACCACCACTCCTTATTAAGTCTGTGTAGCAAATACACAACGCATGCACACTGCTGGGAAGTTCAAGTGCAGAAAGGTAGTATGTTCGTCTAAAGAATATAGGAACTAGCCAGGCGGTGGTGGCGCACGCCTTTAATCCCAGCACTTGGGCAGCAGAGACAAGCGAATCTCTGTGAATCTGAGGCCAGCCTGGTCTACAGAGTGAGTGCCAGGACAGGCTCCAAAGCTACACAGAGAAACCCTGTCTCAGAAAAAAAAAGAAGAAAAATTATAGGAACTAGATCCTTTTTTGGTTCAGAAGCATGATGATTGGGAGTTAAGCCACTGTGTGATGTGTGCCGCCCATTAAACGTTGTTACAACGTTGGCACATTTCCCATCTGACATAAAACACAAAGAAAGAAAGAAAGAAAGAAAGAAAGAAAGAAAGAAAGAAAGAAAGAAAGAAAGAAAGACTTATAGGAACTAGCCTCAGGAGATGGAGTAGCTTGTGATGTACGGAGCCAGGAAAAAGAATAGAGGCCTGTGCTGTGGGTGAGGAAGATGAGGAAGGCCCTGCCCAGCTCTTAACCTTCACTGTTCCACCTCCCCTCCCTCGTCTCTTCTTTCCCTCTAAGAGTCCATTTGCAGTCCAGAGTTCTCTAAGATGGTCTTTTTGAAGAGGCAAGTGTTCCTCCTCTCCTCCACAGGGTGCCTGATGAATCCATTTCCTTCCTGCTGACTTGTGACTAAATATCGGCCTTTGAGTGGTAAGAAATCATCTTGGATCCAGTAACAAAACTAATGGCAGTTTGGGTGATTACCTCCCCATACCAGTCACTCAGAAGCAATGGGAGTAGACACTGAGGGACTAGGAGGAGGCGGACTCCCAGGTAGGCAGGCAGATAGGGAGACACCATGACTAGGTAATAAAGATGGCGAACTTCCAGGATGGCTTGCTTCTTCATCCTCTAAACCTGAGTGAGACAAAAGCCGACAGTGTAAAACAAAGGCCTTGTGGGCTTTTTCTCCTGCTAGTGGGTTCCTTGAAAATGGCTGACTCGGCAAGTCCACGGCCAGATCAGGACAAGTTTACACAACAGTTGTAGGCCAATGGGCCATCCTGTCTTTCTTCAACCTGACCTGCCCTGAAGTATAGAAGGATGACCTTTCGAAGACTGAAAGCCCCCCAGCCCTCAAGGAGAAGCTGTTTGCTTTGCAGGCCTTTCCCTCTGCTTACCTGCTGGATGTGTGTGTTTCTTCACCCCTAATAAAAGCCTTTCTTCAACTGCTGACTCTGTCTGCTCTTCTCTGCTCTACCCGAGATTTCTCTACTGATACCTGTTAGTGCACGAGATCTTCCCTGTCTTTTAATTCTCTTAACTGGCAGAGAAAATGAACTGGATCACGACGCCCACGCTGTAACAGTACCTTTTGCTTGAGTAGGATGCCCATCTGTCTCTATATGCATAAGGATTGTTTTAGGCCTATTACTTTAAGGTACTGCAGATTCAAGAGAAGCTCTGAAAATAAGAAGAGGATAGACATCCTTCTGTGAGAGAAATCCATACCTATTCACAAAATACCCATTTGTAAGAATGTTACCATCTGGGCCCAGCGTTGGTGGCACACACCTTTAATCCCAGCACTTGGGAGGCAGAGGCAGGCAGATCTCTGTGAGTTCGAGGCCAGCCTGGTCTACAAGAGCTAGTTCCAGGACAGCCTCCAAAGCCACAGAGAAACCCTGTCTCAAAAAACCAAAGAAAAAAAAAAAGTTTAAATGCATGGAAAAGGCACCTATGTAAATCTACACAAACATTCCTTTAGTTTACTTTTCCTGGTCACCTTTACACACACACACACACACACACACACACACACACACACACACACACACACACTGTCCTTTGTTGTTAGTGGAAGATATTATATAAGCTTTCATCTCAACCATTTATCCTCAAGCATCTATCTTCATGTATGTATGTTAACAAACTTATTTTCTTTTGTTATACGGATCTGGTGGAGGGCGGGGAAAAAATTTAAAGGCTAGAGAAAAAATTATTTTCCCTTCTCTACTTTTTTTTTTAAAGGGAAGGGTACTTTGCCTGCATGTATGTCTATACAGTACTTGTATGCCTTCTGCCATTGGAAGTCAGAAGAGGACATCAGATCTCCTGGACCTGGAGTTATAGACACTTATGAGCCATCATGTGGATGCTAGAAATTGACTGTAGGTCCTCTGGAAGAGCAAGCAGTGCTCTCAACCACTGAACCATCTCTCCACTCCCTCTGTTTTGTTTTTTTCCTCCCCTTCTCTTGTTTCTGTGCTGGGGATAAAATCCAGGGCCTTGCACAAGGCAGGCAGCACTCACCATCTAGCTATATTCCTAGCCCTGAAAGATTTATTCTCTCTGTTCTATGAAATTATCAATCAAATACACAACTGGTTCCTACCAAAGATAGTATGTTATTGTCAGGTTGACGTTTCAATAAAATAAAACTGAAAGTCACCCAGGAATTTTTAAAGACATCAACTACTAAAATGCCAAGGAAAGAAAATCTGGGTCTCTGTCACACACATATCTCCACAGTCTCAAAAAATGGAGACTCTCAGAAAATCAGGACACCAAAAAAACCTTTCTTTCTCTCCCTCTTTCTTCCTTTTTCACTCATTTATTGAGTTGTATGTTTCAGATTCTGTTTTACTGTGTGTGTGTGTGTGTGTGTGTGTGTGTGTGTACACGCTGCTACAAATGTGTGCAGTGTCTACAGAGGCCAAAAGAGGGAAGAGGATGTTGGATTCCCTGGAGCTGGAGCTACAGGCAGTTGTGAAATGACTGGCTTGACTGTTGGGAACTGAACTTGGGTCCTAAGAGCAGTATCAGCTCTTAGCCACTGAGCCTTCTCTCCAGTTCCCACTGTTTTGTTTTTGAGACAGGGTCTCATGTAGCCCAGGCTGGTCTGGAACTCACTACGTAGCTGGGGACGACCTTCAACTCCTGTTCCTGCCTCCACCTCCCAAGTACCCAGATTCCTCTGAATTCCTGTTCTTATACAGTGAGTTCTCCTTGAGGTTGTAAGCTATATAATGATCCTGTTCCTAGGAAATGTTTTTCGTTTTTACAATGCAAAGGATGGACACAGAGTCTTGAGAATGCTACGTACATGTTCTATCATTGAGCTGTACACCCCAAGAGCTCTCCCTGGGAAACTTAAACAAACAAACAAAACCATTGTCCATTGAGTGAGAGCGTCTAGTTCCTTTGACAAATGTGCAAAACTGACTTGCATTAATGAGGAGAGAGGTGATGTGAACTATCTAAAATTTATTTACATTTGATTTTAGAACATGTTTTGGCATTTGTATTTGAACACACAAAAATATCTTAATACATATAAAATCAAAATACATAAATGATGTACATTAAATACATTCATTAGATTATAGCTATAAGTTTCTTTTCCATGATACTCCTTTATGGACAATTAGTAAATAGATTTTTATCAAAGTTGTGTTACAATTAAAAAACATGGCTGTTTTTGTAAAGGATCTTTATGCTTAATTTCCTTCTCATGACAGGATAATAGGAAGTGCCAAACCCAACAAGCAGCAACATTCAAGACCCAGGTAGGTTTTTTTTTTTTGTTTTTTGAGCTTTTTTTGACATGGTCTCCTGAGTCTAGGCTGGCCTCACACCCTATGTACCTGTGGATAACCTTGAACTTCTGCTCCTCCTGCTTCCTCTACCAAATAATGGGATCATAGCACCCAGAACCACCCTCAGTTTATGCAGGGACTGAACCCAAGGCTTTGTGCATGCTAGGGAAACCCCAACCCCATAAACTTTTATGTCACTCCAAATGATCGGTAAAAGGACTGTTATGAGATTTCACCAAGAAGAGAGGAAACTAATTCCTCACCTTTAAAAGATGATTACATTATCAGATTGTTTTGTTAAGTGTTCAGAGAAACTTCTAAACAGTTTTTTTTCCTTTTTGCTGAGAAAACTTAAAATATAAATTTAAGAGGCAATAAAGGAGGATGAATGGTGACTCTATATGGAGACATTTTTCCATGGTTTCTGGGTTTTGCTCCATTTGAAATCTACATAAACTTTATCATCTGAGATGGGCTATTCTTGCTATTGAGATGGTAAAGCTGCTACTCAACCCTCATTCACTGCTGATAGATAATATATATATTGTCAATAAATAATGTTAAGAGATTAAGTATTTTAATATCTAATCTAATATATAAGTAATAAAAAATACAAGATGGAAACAAGTATTATTCACAAAAAGGCAACATTAGATTTGTAGTCTCTAGATTCAAAAATTATATATATACATATATGCATACATATATGCATACATATATGTTTTATTTAGTTATTTTATTAGTATGAGAGTTTTGCCAGCATGTGTGTCTGGGCATCACTTCCACGCAGTGCCCTCAGAGGCCAGAAGAGGATGTTGGATCCCCTGGAACTGCAGTGCAGACAGTGGTGAGCTGCCATGCGGGTGCTGGGAATTGAACCTAGGTCTTCTGGAAGGGCAGTCCATGCTCCAAATCACTGGGCCATCTCTCTACCCTCCTCAATTTTATATTTATAATATGCATATAACACAGAAGATGTTCTTATGATATATGAAATGTAATATAACATATCCATCTGCTGTATATATTACATATGTATATCTGACAGATGCAATATGATAAAATTATCATTAAAATTTTGTTCTTTTTTATGGTTTTCAGATACAAGTGTATACAGCATGTATATGTTTCTAATCATTTTATAGTCATCATTTTTTAGTGCCAACAATTAGATATGGCCAAGCACTTTGCATTCTAAGCTCTAATAGCTAAAAGAATTAAATACTGACCACACAAGACCTGATGAGTTACAGAACTGAAAATAACTAGACTCTTTTGTAAATTGCTGTTTTCTCTGATTTTGTTTTGTAAAGTCTTTGTGGTGTTTATAGCTGTTGTCTGCTGATACTGCTACAAAAATCCTTTTTCTATTAGAACTCTGTATTTAACAGGCATTAGGAGGCCACACTTACAGCTGAGCCTTCAAATAAGAGAGACAGGACTGGGAGACAGCTCTGCAGTTATAAGCACCTGCTGTTCCTCTATAGGACCCAAGCGGGGTTCCCAGCACCCATATTTGGTGGCTCATGATTGCCAATAGCTCTAGCTCCAGGACACCCCCATGTCCCTTTCTGTCCTTTTTGGGCCCCTGAACACACATGGTACACACACACACACACACACACACACACACACACACACACACACACACACACACACACGCTTTAATACAGCACTTGAGAGGCAGAGGTAGGCAGAATTCTAGGAGTTGGAAGTCAGCTTGGTCTACAGAATGAATTGTTTCAGGGT